TTGGGAAAGGCACTTTGCACACATTGTCCTCACTTCACCCAGGTGGAAATGGGTACCCGGCTATAGACAGTGAACGATCTTGTCAGTTTGATAGTGTTTGAGTGCGTGAAATCCGCAGCTTGCACTGTATGCTTCCGCGGAAGCCGAGTGTGTTTCTGAGTGTTCTCAGAGGGTCTGCTGGGGTAATAATAGTTGTAAAGCGCATAGAGCATGCTCTTGAGCATGGATATGCGCTATAAAAATGCAATTATTATTATTATTATTATTATTATTTTTGAAAGAAGAAAAGGCCCACTATTGACTGTCTGACTAAAGCGTGGATTGGAGGTTGACTTTAGGATTAGTGAGCTGACATGGTCACAACCACCTTCCGTTATTCAAAATAAAATTTTTAAAATTAATGAATAACTAGTCTACTGTAACCCAAGTTCTCTGTATAGATCTTGAAATAATAATAATAATAGATAGTATTTGTATAGTGCATATCCCCACTCAGCAGCAGGCTCTATGCGCTTTACACTATATTATTACCCCAGCAGACCATAGAATACTCCAAAACATTCTAAGCTTCCCGGGAAGCATACAGTGCAAGCAGCCGATTAAGCGAGCAAACACTAACAAACTGACAAGATCTTTCGCTGTCTATAGCCGGGTACCCATTCCCACCTGGGTGAAGTGAGGAAAATTCGTGTAAAGTGCCTTTCCCAAGAACACAACGTCAGGCTCTTGACGGGATTCGAACCCACGACCTTACGGTTGCGAGTCCGAGAGCTTAACCACTAGGCCACCGACCCATTGTTTTTCAATTTGAAAAAATGGAGCAGAATAACGATTTAAGAGTAACCCAAGAGCTCCAGAAGATCTGGAAATAATTAGATTTATCTGACATGTCATGACATGACTTCGCTGTATGTTCCGAGAAGGCCTCACATTTGCCATTTTGTATGACGATAATAAGTCTTTGACCTATCTGTCTCAGACAATATTAGTTAATTTCTCAAGACAAGTTCGTCATCAAGTATGCAGCTGTTTTGAATAGAGTATAACCCACACACTCTGGGCCTTTATTCCCCCCCCCCCCCCCTTTTTTTTTCTCTCTCTCATTAATTCTTGTTTCATACATGTTGGGGGGGGGGGGGGGGGGCTAGTGTGTATAGAACATTATCAACCTTCCTTATGGACATGACAACACTGGAGGTACTGATGCATAGGATTTATTGATATAGGTGCCAGTCAAGTGAATGTTCAGAAACATTCCGAGCACAAATATATAAAGCTCTTTTTGAATACTCAGTAATGTCATTAGTTAATACAAAGAGAGGGTTCGATTGTTGTTGTTTTTTGTGGGGGGGTGGGGGGTAGGTGTGTGACTGCTGCTTGTCTATTTTGTCAAAATGAACTGTTGATGTAATATATTCTAGCATCATCTTCTCCAAATCAAATTTGAACTAATTTTCTCCCCCCCCTTTCCCCTTTACCCTTTAGGTGCTGTGCTCTATGCTGGAGCTGGAGGTGGTGGAGGGCCACGACCTGCGCATGCAGATGATCACCACCCTGCAGTCCACCACCGAGGGCAAGCGCATGTATGCACAGCTCTGTGAGCGACAGATCGCCATCAAAGAGATGGTGAGTTACTCACTAGTTTCTTGTGGTCTTTACCTGAATGCCTCTTTCCTATCGAGCATATAGTGTCCTTATCTCCCCTCCTTCTTTTTTGTGTTTGTTACTCTCTTGTAACACCTCTAATCTTCGGCACTTATATGACCTTATTGTGTTGCAAGTGCCGTAAATCTCTTACTAAAACTAAAACTCAAACTTACAACTCGTGAAGTACGGAAAAAGCGGACACTTGTGTGATGACCTAAAGAACAAAGAATTAAACGTAAATGGACAGATATTGTTCCATGCCATATTTGCTTTAATACCTGCCGTTTTTGCTATTGATAGTGTCATTTAAAGATGGATGTGCTGGTCCGTTTTTGGACGCCACAAATTATGGATGGTTGGCGGATGCTCTGATGTTGTTAGCTCCTTTCCTATCAAAACATCTGTAACCTCTATCTCCCCTCCTTTTTTTTTTGTATGTCACTCTCTAGTAACACTTCAATTCTTCGACACTAATATGACCAATTTTTACTGCAAGTGCTGTAAAACTGTTGCTAAAACTAAACTCCCCAAATCTGTGAGGAAAGGTGTCTGTCCGCCTCAGGTCCTAACCTCCATCTTTTCCCCATCTGTCTTTGAGCAGCAACAGAAGGGCGGGCCGAAGAAGCTGACACTGCCCAGCAAGTCGACGGACATCGACCTGACCAAGATGCTGAGCTCGGGCTCCTTTGGCAACCTGGAGTGTCTGAGTCTGGCCTTCACCCAGGTGACCAGTGCCTGTGCCAATGACCTCATCAAGCTGCCCTCGCTGCGATACCTGAACCTCTGGTCCACTCAGGTGAGGGGAAATAGAGTTTGTGGGAGGGGTGGGTGGGCTTTGTTTTACTTGTCTGTCTGTCTGTCTGTCTGTCTGTCTGTCTGTCTGTCTGTCTGTCTGTCTGTCTGTCTGTCTGTCTGTCTGTCTGTCTGTCTGTCTCTCTCTCTCTGTCTCTCTCTCTCTCTCTCTCTCTCTCTCTCTCTCTCTCTCTCTCTCTCTCT